CATAAGGAGCTCTGCATAGTGCAAGTTGGAGTTCTTCCTACAAAAGAACAAAATGCTAAAATTAAAGATAAATTATGAGAGATTAAATAAATTAGCTAACCATTGTTATCACAAGGTTGGATTCAAACAACAAGCAAGACAGCCAAGTCAAATAAAATTCAGCTGTTAACTTATGCAAATATCTTAAATATGTAACATAAATATTCCCACATATTCAAAACATGATTGAGTTCATCATTATCACTGCATAGACTAAAAATAATGGATTGACGTTAAGGTCGAGAAAGCATCGAACTATAGGTCATATTGTACTTGAGCACTGAAAATTTCCAACATTAATTAATTAATCTAATAAATTTTTTAAAATGGGAACATGTTTATAATTAAGAAATTAGAAACACAAATAAATATTGACATGACATTAACATGGTGGGATTTAGATAAATTCACAGGGGAAAATATTAGAAAATGCAATCTTCTAGATTTAATGAAAACCATAAAAGAACCTTCTGAGTTACGTCAGAAAATATTTTTAAGGTTTATCTGGTGATTTATTCATAAACTGATGATTGGAATGAGCCAATGTTAATTTAAGCTCATTATGATTTAATTATACAACTGAAAATATTATAAATAACCAATAAAATAATTTGACAAAATAAAGAGAATAAACAAAATAAAAACTGATATAAACAGTTAGATTATATCATTAGGAAGAGGATGTTTCAAGTTTGAGATAATAGAATAATTAATTTAATTCACTGCACAATCAGTTACAAGCTCAAAATTTACAATTTATCGGAAGGAAAATAACCACTAATAAACACAAACATATACCAACAAAACGAATGTTATATGAAAAAGAACAAGATAATGAAGGCCATTTCGGAATTTAAGTATAGTGTTTTCCATTGCTAATACGTTTAACCACGTAAGTGAAATGTGGTTCACTGAATATGGATATTAATATTGGATTCAACATTTAAAAGAATTGCTAACATATACAGATGTTGGCACCTTCCCTTTCAGGGGATATCTTTGGGGAGGCATTGTCATTTATTGAAGACCTTTGGACTGTTGATATTACACGTATTAAACTTCCAGATGAATCTATCTGTCTTAAGCTTCTGGTTCTAATATTTACAGGAACTAAAAATGAGCGTGACATATGCTTTCGAACTTCATATTTCTGTTGGGAAACAAAGTTTAATCGAAAAGGTTACAAATACAACAAATTTGCAGAAGACAGTACGTTTCATGTAGCTAGTAACCAAAATTATAGGTAGTTTGGAATGTGAGTGAAAAAATATTGTTATTGGTAGCAATGTAAAAAAAAAATGACTTAAAAAAAAAATTGTTGATTGCCTTAAGAAACATTGTTATTGGTATATATATATATTAAAAAATATATATATCCTATGTGCGCGCAATAGTCTTTTCACGTGGAAAGCTACACCATTATCCTACATTTGGTCACATACCAGTCTGTGGTACACTAAAAGAACACACCTACTAAATAAAAAAAAAAAAAAACAAAAATGAGTATGAAGTGGAAAGTTCAAGATGGAGAATTGTGCTTATAAATCAACCAAAAGTTATAGCAACGGCCAATACGCCTCTTGTATCATCTTTCACCAATTACTCTAATATGGTAGTTGGATTTATTTCTACACAGATTCCCTAACTATCGTGTCTGGTGTTCCTCCGACGAGCAGCAGCAGCAGTGTCCTCTTTTTTGTCTTCCTTCTCCTCAGTAGTTCCCTGGTTATTTGAGGTTTCAGCTATATCTGTCTTATTTGTCTCTGATCT